TGACCCACCTCCCACCCACGGAGCAAAACCTGCCACCCTGCCAGCACAGCCACCTGGGGCAGGGGATGGACTCCAGCCCTGCCTTTGCACTGAACTCTCCTCACGGGAAGAGTTACAGCTGGAAATCCAACCTCGGCCAAGGAAAGCCAATCCAGGGCCTATTGCATTACACAAACCTCCCTCAGTAATGACACTACCACTCGTTCTTTTTTTTTCATTTGCTGGTTTAGTCCAAATCACAGGGACGCTGGGAGCTTTATCTCAACCTTAGTATCTTGCTACTCCCTGGAGGAGCCACTAATTCAGCAGTTGCCAGACAAAACAGGACTAAAATAAAGCAAGGGTTAAAAGAGCAACAACAAGGAGTAGCCTTTTGTAAGAGCCAGGGAAGAAATCAGACCCTTCCCTCACTGTCTCCAGGGGAGAACAGAATAAATAACCCAGCATCCCTCCCACCTTCCAGCAGACATTTCCAGGGAGGAATGTGCATTATGGAGTTTGAATGCACCATCATTTACATACACAGCCATTTTTCACCCAGAGAGGAACTCACACTTCCCATTAACACGGTGCCTCCCATGTTTTCTGCAGCAACAACTGAAAATATCCTGCTCTCAAGCATTCTTAAACACGGGCTTGTGTGGCAACACACCTAACTGGATAACTTAATCAGAGGGGTCTAAGACTAATCTTGTTTGGGACAAACCCTTAGCACCACCCTGACGTGTTTTTTAAGAGCGCCAGAGCATCACACCAGTGTCTGTTCATAACCCTTCGGGGTCAGATCTCCCAGTAATTTCAAATAACTTTAGTATTTAATAATTTCTAACATAAAACTTGATTAAAAAGCAACACAGAGCACTGTGTGAGCCACAAGCATTTCATTCTTCTCGCCACCAAGTTCAAATCTGCATAACATCCACAGCAGCTGATTTCACTGACCTTTTCGTCCCACAAGAAATTCTTTTACACCAGCAGAACACTGAGCCATGAAACCGGTTCCTGAGCTGTGGGAGGCTGCAGAAATCCACCCCACAGGGGTGTGCTGCCCCAGCCTACCTGCCCAGTTATTCCCATGGGCTGAGCAGACTCGGCCCAGCTTTTACGCCACCTCCTCAGGAGCCTGATGCAAAGGACACCCACCCTTTCTTTGGGAGCTCAGATCCAGGGGACACCCACCCTTTCTTTGGGAGCTCAGATCCAAGGGACACCCACCCTTTCTTTGGGA